TGTCATTTGAAATATTTTCATTGCTAAATTAGCTTTCCGATTGAATAATGTGTAGTAGGCAATTACATAACACTAGAACAATAGTAAGTTAATATGACAATGATTTTTAAACATGTTTGATACAAGTCAGTAACTTAAAATTAAAACCACTGAAAACGTGTCTAAAGGTAAATATTAGTAAAAAGAAAATATACGAAAATTACCAAGTAGGTTATTAAAGGTGCTTGAACTTAAATTATAAAATAAAAAATCTAACTTTAACTTAAAGAGCTGCTCAACTTAATTGTAATATCGCTGCGAAATTGCCGCGCAGATACGGAAAGAGGTTTTTCTATTTAAGTTACACCTAAGCATCATACATTTCAATGCCAATATAATTAATACAATGCATTAGCCACGTCGCAGATTAATTTTCAGACTGACATGCCAACGACCCCCCATAGCTTCTCGAAGCGAGCCACGGTAGGCGGCGAACGCTAAAATAATTTTCATTTAATAACAGTGAAACAAAATTGGACTAAACAACAAGGAATTTGTACTTTGGGAGATGTGATATATAGAGAATCGACTAGGTCCTCATCAAATGATTATTAAATACTTAATAAACATCGTATTCATAATATATAATATAAGCAATATAAAACGNCCCATAGCTTCTCGAAGCGAGCCACGGTAGGCGGCGAACGCTAAAATAATTTTCATTTAATAACAGTGAAACAAAATTGGACTAAACAACAAGGAATTTGTACTTTGGGAGATGTGATATATAGAGAATCGACTAGGTCCTCATCAAATGATTATTAAATACTTAATAAACATCGTATTCATAATATATAATATAAGCAATATAAAACGTAACATAATCGGAAATACTAGACAATAATATAATTCTGCTAAATAACTGAAATTCATCGCCAGGATTGTAATGGAACAATGATTTAAAAATGGATTCACAAGCCATCGGTATCGACTAGACACGGCTTACGCTGCGGGAGATCGGATCGAACTTCCACTACAAAACTGACAACCGAGAATTGTCTAACAATATTAAATATAAAATCGAATAGAAATAATAAAAAAAAAAACTTCACTAAAATTTTGTACCGAAAAGTGTATCGTCTAGCTTCGATTAAAATGATATGCATGCGAACAGCAACACTTTGGTTAAGATCACGAATGCAGGAATGTTGCCCGCGCGTTGTTCGCACAAAGGAAAACAACTAATACCCCCCTCCCCCCATATCGTTTAGTACCCACTACACATTCTGCTATTGATCAGTGTTGGCCGCTTTATCGGTAGTTCTGCCATTATCGATATCATTATTAATAATTGTCGCAACATCAAGCCGGTATAAAAAACACTAAGCCTACTAAAACTACTACCTGCGAAAACTCTTTTAAAGAGTAAACTTACAAACTATATTCGTAATATAACACGAATGCCTACGCTCGGGCGACGGCCGATATATCTGGATCCGTATAAAATACATAATGTTATTTTTTCGCCTCAGTTTTATTACAATTTCCTGAAATACCTCTGTATATAGTCATGCCCTTCCAACATTACCAGACAATACAACGCTCACTATCATTGCGTATTATTAGCTTTTAAAAAACCCTAATAGTATGGTACTTGAAATTTATTTAACCAGATTATTGTGTTTTATTTATTTTGTGCCAATTCCTTCGGCTTCGTGTTTTAACGTACAAAAATACACGCATATCGCGACCAATCTATAATAATTTCGACTTAACAAAATAGTTTAATGGTAGGTACAAAAGTTTTTTTTTTAAATAGAAAATTCATAAAGACTTATAAAATTTATTACAAAATACTTATCGATCCCTACTTAATTTTTCAATTGGCGCATTCCTTCTGAGCTTCTTAACAACGACCCGACCCTACTCTCGAACCATACATATTTCGTGGAAAATTGTAAACGAACAAGAGATCATTTTATAAAAATATTTTAATACGGTCACATATCAGCGTCTATATATATTAAAAAAAAACTACATGCAGTGAAAGAAAATATATAAGTACACTACTTATTCATTCATTCACACATACATTTAGTAGGTAATCATAAAATAGTTGACGCAACTTAGCGAATTATCGCTGTTGCTTTAAGAAATTTACGAAGCTCAAGATTATTGTTAAAGCGGTACGAGAGGACAGCCTAAACCTAGACGTAAGTCTTTCATAATAATCGCCCCAATTGACGCTTAAAAAGCATCTGTTCTGAAAATGCACAGATAAAATATAAAGACTTACACGTTTATATATAATGACCTAGCCTTGCTTGTCACGACAAGAAGGAATCTTGCAAGCCCAAAAAATCACTTCATCTTATAAAAACTCTCAAAACAATATCCATTTATCAAGATTGCTTCTTATAATCGACGAAACAAGTGGTCTCACAAGTCTATTATCGCCGTGATACACGTATAAGACTTGTTATTACAAAAATACTAAATCTAATTCTTTAGTAAAAAAACGTATATTAAATGATTATTACATTTACGCTTTACATTTACGTACTAATAGAAAAAAAAGTTAATACTAAATTACTTTTTACGTGTATGAAAGTACAAAAATGTTTTTTTTTTTTGTTATTACAAATTATGACACTCATACCCTGACGCACCCCGCGCATTACGTAGTAAAAAATGTTACTCTAATTGCCACGCAATAACTTAATTATTATCATTAACGAATTCGTTAGATTATCACCAAATTTTCTCCTTTAATTATTGCGTTTCGAAATGATTATTGCTTCCTGAAAGAAAAAAAAACCGGCCAGTTGCGCATGCACCTAAAAATATATATAGATAACTGTCGTTCTCTGAAGCCTTGTTCGGACTAGGCGAGTATTTTAGTCGAGTACCGGGTAATTTAGTAGCTAAATGTGTCTGAGCACCAAAAATTTAGTCGAGTAGGTTAGTAAATAATTTAGTCAAGTCAATCCATTTTGTTCTATTTTTTCGGGCGAGTAGTTTAGCCACTAAATTACTCGGCATTCGACTAAAATACTCGCCTAGTCCGAACAAGGCTTAAATCTTGAGAAGTACACACGACTGGTTTTGTGTCTTGCGATTTTAGCAGCTAATGAGTGTATATATACCACCTTTCACTGTCGTATCGCATTTGTTAGTTTATTGTACAATTGAACGATCCGTTATGCGTCGCTTGAACGCCGTGCCGTCCCGAATTCTATCATTATCCAAACTGGTCCATCGAAACTATTAAATGCGATCGAGCGTGAATTAAATTCCTATCTACACAGTACAAAAGATTAATTACTACGTTAGTGTAGAAAACATCCGAGTATCAAAATATAATTAACACACGTTTTTTTTTTGTTTTGCGTTTAGTTTCACTAACCAATAACAGCCGTATACGTTAATCAGCCAATGCGTTTGAAATATTTTTGAGCCGGGTGTGGACGACGGGTCACATTCAGATTTTGAATGTCATTCGTTAGTTAGAAACGCGTTGCACCCCAAAATCGGAAATTTCAAGGTACCACGTAAACTTACGACAAAAGAAACAAAGACAACAACAATAAAAAGCAATCAATCCGACCAGTACAAGTACCGATAGTGATTTTTTGTTTTTCGTTTGTCTTACAAATTTAATAAAACGGTTATAACTTATGCGCAGTGTAACGCGAGAGCGCACCGCCTATGACCAGATTGTACACATTAATAATTACTCGCTTGGCACGAGGACAATATCAATATGCCATTATTTCCATAGATCGCTTCAGGGCGACGTATTTCAGATCATTATGTTTATGCAGAATGTCGCAAATCACTTTTCCGCAGGCACCGCACTAAGTTCCATGGAAATACGGCCTAATGATGAGAAATTAATGACAATGATTAAACTTACATGATATAAGCGATCACAAACATCCATCCCATTCGCACAGATTATATAATTAAAGAAACCCCTACTTTCTATTTTTTTAAAAGCCTACAAAAGAAAATCGATCAAAAGCGACGTGATTAAAAGTATATTATGCAAATTAATTTGTTGCTTCTTAAATATGTTCAAAGCGCGTATAATCTACACGATAAAATCACTGATATTCTAAAAAGTTAATGTTAGATACACAGTAGTTTTATAATAATAATAATAATAATAATAATAATGTAACAATTTCCTTTACTAAAATTCGAACAACGAAAAAATAAAATTTAACTTTCAAAATGAATAATTAACTGTCTGTTTTTGTCACGAAAAACAATCGCGGCCTACATATTGTTTCACAGTAACTATTTCGTAAAGTTTATCTAAGATTTGCGTTACGATTAATATGTATTTTGATTTATTATTATTATTTTAATAAAATTTGCAAAAGTAACAAATTCTTTTTCTTTTGTACTTTAAGCAATTCACTAAATTACATCATAATAAATTCAACGAGAAGAAAATTTGTAAGTCGATGTCTAAATAAATAAGTAATATTATAAATACATAAAATTTTAACAAATTTGCAAATAAACTAAGATATACGACAACGTTCTTGTAATTAAATTTATAAAAAAATGAACAATTAAGTAATTAACCAAGTTTCTAAAATATGTAATATTCAAACGAAGGATTTTGTATATTTTTATAGACTTGGAACTAACCAAANAAAATTTGTAAGTCGATGTCTAAATAAATAAGTAATATTATAAATACATAAAATTTTAACAAATTTGCAAATAAACTAAGATATACGACAACGTTCTTGTAATTAAATTTATAAAAAAATGAACAATTAAGTAATTAACCAAGTTTCTAAAATATGTAATATTCAAACGAAGGATTTTGTATATTTTTATAGACTTGGACTTAACCAAAATCGTATATTGTATATTTAAAACAATTCACCACACAACCTTTCAAGTATTAGGGTACATCAATAAAGAAGAAATTAAATTATCGAAATACACGAATTGATAAAGAAACACTAATAATTTTTTTTTGTATTTTTCTTTTTTTTTATGTTATTCACTGTAACTGGAATATGGATATAAAAATTGTAGTTTAGTAAATATCCTCTAAAACGATTCCAAATTTAGGAGCCATACGAACTTTTTACTATAATTTACTATTTTATCTAAATACGTATTGTTCATAAAAGTTTTTTTTTTTTTTTTCAATAAGGAATCATCTATGTGTAGAATAAATAGCCTTCTGACGCTTAGGAGGACTTCTATATAATTTTTGTTTTGTTTTCAAAATAGTACGTATTTATTATAATTTTGTACCGGTGTATAAACAAACTTATCTATCTATAAAGGGTTGCTCTGATAATATTATAATCCTTAGGCTCTGTATTAGACTATTAAACAATATGACTCTTATATTTTGTGTCGCTTCCTTTGCCGGAGTAGCGATGACGTTTCACTTTATATTTGTACATGGACACCATCAGATGATCTGTATTTGATTATTTTTTTAATATTTTTCTAAATATACCAACAACAGCTCGTTTTTTTTTTTTCATATATTTTTTTTCAAATATTTTCTTGGATATACCGCACATTAAAATGTACATTTTTAAATATATTATAATCTATAATAGAACGAGCGAACTTTAATAAAATTAAAAATTGTTTAACATATAAAACGCCATCGCTATCCGGTATCAATGTAAAATAATTAGGGCTTCTTTGATACTGTTGTAATTATGTACTATCGTTTACAACTAGAATATGCAATTATACATCTCAATAAATACTTTTTTATCGTGAAGCGTATGAGTGTAAACTATTTATTTAAACATTACACAGTTCTACGTCACTTTATTCGATTTTTTTTAATACTTATAAGATAAGTTTGAAGCGAAGAATAAATGTATTAAAATATTTATGAGGTATTACAACCACACAGGGTAACTGGTCACTATAGTATAAGTCTATATGAACAGGATACATAGAAATTGTCTTCAGTAAATATCTTAACAATGCTTGCTGTACTTGAAAGGTAATTTTCTTTGGTACGTACAAGTTAATAAGTATTTTGATATTTTTAATATTTCACAATCTCATGTTTTGTGTGTTACCTAGAGTATAAATTCCTGGAGAATTTTTAGATTTACATTTCAGTCCATTATACTATAGTAATACCAGTTGCCCACCACTCAAACCGTGCCGAATGACGACGATGATAAAATAGTATGTTGTGCAGTGATGCGGATGGCGTGACGACGTGACGTTAGTGACGACTGGTGATGATGAGCTAACAACTACGTAGAATAATAGGTTATTCATATTCAGTCAAAAACTAAATGAAGGATTCAAATTTGGAATTTTGTTTAAATTGTGGTTATGTGATTTGGCCATTCAAACTTCTTTTTTTTAAGTCTACTGATCATTAGTAAAATTCCAAAGGAGAATCCTCGTTGATTATATTATTAGTAAAAAAGGTAAATGGCAGTTAATTTCGTTACGAAGGAGGATAGATAATGCAAAAATTTTTACCTATAAAAGTGTCAAGTCTTCATTAAAAATTTATTGCCTAAGGTTCTGTACGATTTTTCCCGCGTTTTCTCGCCTAATGTTATGCGCCTCAGCGGACCGGTACACTATCGATTATGATTAATGTATGAGCACCCGAAACCCTATTAGAACAAGATTCATTGATGCTAATCATTTACTTGTCATATAATATAAAAGTGAATGCCTGTTTGTGACTTATCAATTTAAAATAATAATAATATCTCGATAACCATACAGGACTCTGATGTTTCATAGACAATGCATTGAAGTGTGAAAATTTCAAATTTTCGAACTATTCTTTTTTCGAAATTTCGTATATAGAATAATTTAACTAGAACAACGTTTGCTATCGAATTAAGCAACGTAACTAGCAGCGGAAGAGTGAATGTACAGTGCCCTATAGTTGTTTCCGATCCGCTCGGTACATAAAAACGCTAATCCCGCCATTATATCCGCACCACTTTTTTTTTTTTTTTTTAAATAACTAACACATCTAACACTAAGAATTATCACTTTTAATCACTTTGCGAGTAGTATCAAATGTATAAAACCTTACCTAAAACATTCACATTAAACAATATAATTACTGAGTAAATTTGAAAAATCACTTACGTTTAAGTAAACTTTAAAAGCGATATTCCACTTAAAGGTAAATAGACATTCAAGATAAGAAAACTCTTAACACTAAATTATATTAAGCGATAAGAATGTATGAAAAAGAAAAACTTAAAAAATCTACCAAATCATAATGTCAATGATTAATGGTATATATTTTTCTCATTGAAGAAGCGAATTGTCCAAACAAAGATTTCAATACCAGACATCAGTTTTTTTTTTTTTATATATGGCACTATTAACCAAAAATTCAATGAGCTTCATAGATTTTCTTCTTTTACCAATTTACTATACCACTCCCCATCAACTTTTAAGTTTACAAAATAAAAACATAAGATTAATAACAATATAATAAGAAACCTTATAGTGATAGATATTAAGACTTGCTAATCAATTATTGGTGACACAGCAATGACTTATAATTAAAAATCCACTACGATTAATATTAAAAATTAAGGTATGAAAAATGACGGTAAGTAATAAAAATTATGAAAACCACTTAAAAAAAAAAAGACCTCTCCGTTTAAAATCCCTTTTTACACAAAAAGTGCCGTTTTGGTGGGAGAAAACAAAAAGAAATCGCAATCAATCTACGAAAATATGATTTAACACTTAAGTTAGGTTAAAAATTTTGCTAAAATAAAACATAATTAATAAACTAAATTGAACTAAATAACAGTCCACTCGAACTTCCTATCAGATAGGGCCAGTATCACTGAAATCGAAGGTAATCAATAATCAAAAAAACTCATCTCGAATCCTTCTGAAGGAAAAACATTCCCGAAAAAGTTCCAATTGAAAGAAAACAAAAAAAAAATGCAATTTCTGGCATCGCTATAGATCTAGTTACAATTTTCCATAAAAACAACTTCTAATCAACAAAGAGCAGAATAAAATTAAAATAAAATCAATAGTACGATCTAAACCGTCACATAAAATTATTTTCAATACTACCAACTTAATTTAACAAAAAATATTCCTACCGTCATATGACGTAATAAAAGTTCAAGAGTAATAATAAACATAGCAACACAAAAGTCCAATATTCGCCGCGTCGTTTCTTTTACACCCGCACTGATCACGTACGAATTACGCGATTTGATTCAGATAGTCAATAAAATCATTCGAGAACAGCTGAAGACTGGGCTCCGTCGTGAAAGGAGTACGACGGGGTATTCCACAACCACCCAACTGCATCGTTGGCAGCTCGACTGGTTTCGGTCTGAGCGACGCCAAGTAACGATCAGCAAGTGACTCGCCCAAGCTCATGGCCAGCGTTTCCGGAGTTAAACCAAGCAACGAAAGAGACTCGGTTATGCTAGCCAGAGTCGGGTTGAGGTATTTGTTGGTGTGATCTTCAGCAGGTTCCGGGGCACGAGAAGCCATACTCGTGTTGACGACTGGACGTAACGCGGGGGGAGATGCGCGGCGAGGGGGCGACGGGGCAATGTTCCACACGTCAGCCGAAGCAGGGGAGGTGCCGGGAGAGGTTCCCGGCACCGCCGACTGTTATGGCCACTGCTGGAATAGTGGGTAAACCCGTTTGGTGAAGCAGTAAGTGAGTGGCTTCACGAAGTGCGTGTCAGTAACTCGGCATTGCGGGCACGTCACTGGGTGCGAGTAGTCAGAGTAGTTCAGCCGTTGCTGAGGATGCAGAAGCGGCTTGTAGCAACTGTTGCACTGTTAAAAAATACACAAATTTTAGTTGAAAACAAATATTGTTAGATAAATTACAGTTAATAATAGTATTGAACTTTTCACGGGTTTTCTCAACGGTTATTCTCACCTTTAATCTCTCGGCACAGCATGGAGTTGCCATGAAGATGTCGTATGAATACATTGTACCGAGGACAAGCGAGGACCCGTCCCATTTTTGGCCGCAGAATCGGCAGCGAATGGTGCGGTCTGGGTCACAGCGCTCCAGGCATCCCATACATACGCAAGTCAAGTATTGCGTACGACCCTCCACTTTCACCTGCGGGCAATGACATCATTAGCATACATTTCTCTAATCACTTCTAACTTATGTATTTGTCAATAAAACAAGTGGTCTTGGTTTATGATTGATAATTATTTTAAACTTTGATAGAATAGATAAAATAAATAACACAATTCTCTGCAATTTTAATCTAATTAAAATATTAGATAGATAGATAGATTAGGGAGTACGTTCGAGGGACAGACTTCTGTTTATTCAAACAAAAAACAAATAACCATATGTGTTAGCTACGTCTCTTCAAATTTGCTACACAAACATGGCAAGTCGGGAAGTTTCGTTCGATGTGAGACTGTCATTTGATACATTTAAAATAACTTGACTGAATCTTATTTAAGTTTATAATGAAACCAAGATCTCGTGAACATTGTGGGGGATGAATGTGGAGTTGTTGATTTATATTATTTGTCATCTAAGCTTTTCAGTTGTTGAGAGATGATTTTTTGTTACAAAGTACATATTAGTCATGTGTGACGTCTAAAATGTATTTTAGTTATTAGATTTTTAAATCGCGAAACTGCCATTTATTTATATGCTTTTATCAGATTAGGTCATGAAATATGTGACTAAGATTTTTTATTTATTTAGCAAATTTATAATTACCTCAACAGCGCTGCTGGTATGCTGACGTGGACTGAGGAAGAAGGTGCCATCCACTAATGGGTAACGATCGAAAACGTCAAGGGTGTCCTTGCAGAGTGCGCATGAGACCCTGGGCTTATGTTGCCCAGCCAGTGTGGAAAGGATGAAAAGACGTGTATCGTCGTTGCCGTGGTTTCCTTCATCTTCAATCTGTTAAAATGAAAAACGCTTATTAGACTAGTCTTTTGTAAGAAAAAATGCCACGAGGAATTATAATGTAAGATCTGTAAGTTGCTCTCCCAGAAACCAAGCGAATAAAACTTTCAATATTTAATGTTCCCACATTTACATATTACGATTTATGCATCCACCCACGATATCGTAGCTCTCCCTTCGTAATAACACAAGTAATGACTGCATAAAGTTGAATAATGAAAGGCTGAAAGGCAATTACGCTGAATTCGGAGTCGAAGTCAAACAAAAGCCCACGAGCGCCGCAGAGATCGATTGTGAAGCACAATTCGTTCACGTACGAACGATTTGTGTGAGCGAATTATAATGAAAGTTTAACGAGTCACACTGTTGCAGCGTAGGCGTTATGGAACGCCTTAATTAAACATTATTTTAACTTTCAGAGCGTGTAAGATTTCCACCCCTATATCGGGGAATAAAGGTATTGTCCCGTGTTTGGAATTGTCTACCGACTCAATGAGAATGCGTTTGATGATGTGTATTGTATTGTGCTCGTAATCAGCCACTAGACGATTGCGCATGCAAAATTCATGAGCGTGGTATCCTCGCATTCCAGTGTGCATCTATCGAAGCTAAATATTTCTATCTATTATTAGAGTGACGTTGGGACACCGGGAACACATGAAACGTAGCTCGCGAGATCATTGACCTACACAAACAGTACTACGAGTATGATTTGCAGTGCAGTGCAGTATAGTTTGCCAAAAGACGATAGATTAGCGACGGTTCTTTAGACACTCACAAACATTACATCCATATCAATCCGCCAGATTTTAAAATAGACATCTTCTATTTTGGGAATCTTGATCAAATAGTTTACCCAGGGTTACATTTGAAAATTAATGTTGAAATTAAATAACAGATCGCACTTCCCGAGGCGAATAGACGTACCATTGATGTGATTGATTCAACCAGACGGGCAGCTGGTGTTCCCAACCAATGCTCTAGACGTTTATGATTGATGATATAGCGACAGAGACGGAACATTGAATAATACAACCGCGATAGCTAACACAGCGAGCTCGCAGCTAATGAAATGTCTATGAATTACGATCTTAATTAAAACGACTCTTGAGTCGTCGCCTCCGGATTAATGAGTGACAATTAAATTGTTAAGTGTCACGCTCACGGCGGTTTAGTGAGGTTGCAGGTCGCGGTCAACGAACTCGAAAAGGCATTGTTGCAAATTTATTCATTTTAGCCAGGTCTATATTAGAAGATAGATGAATACAGCCCAGACTATAATTATTTACGTAAACCGATCACGGTTTGTTCAGTGAGCGTCCACTTTTACGATTGTCTAATGCGTATAGGCGAACGTAGTTAAAAAACATATAAAATGTTTGGCAAATGTAAAAATTGTGTCTGTATTTTTCTGAGCGATACGAATTAAGTATATATAGCTTCTATTAAATTTAATGTAATTGATATGAATGAATTGGCTCATTTAAGTTTAGCAGATGGCACTAACATCCGGTAGTCGGCAGTAACGTCTACAAAATTCCATACAGAGAAATTCGGGAGTCAGTTATCCGTACAGTTTGCATAACAACAGAACGTCGTCGATTACAATCACGCATCAGCGTTTTTATTTGAATTTTGTAAAACATAGACAAATACAAGAATAATTTTAAAGCGCAAACTCAACGTTCCCGTCAAACAAATATTATGAGGTTGTGTTCGTTTCTGTGTTCAAATAACACGACCGAGAATAGCTCGATGTAATGAGAAGTGAAGCGTATTCAAGTGATCTTGAAGTGTCGTCGACGTACATCTCGTTGAGAAAATGTACACACATTAAAACTTTCTAAAGTAATGGTCGTGGAGTGATATTCAGATATATACATATAGTTAAGAGGAAGCAGTGTTATTCAATTTTAATTTCATTTAATACGGTTTTCACTGGTGGTAGGACCTCTTGTGAGTCCGCACGGGTAAGTACCACCACCCCACCTATTTCTGCCGTGAAGCAGTAATGCGTTTCGGTTTGAAAGGTGGGGTAGCCGTTGTAACTATACTGAGACCTAAGAACTTATATCTCAAGGTGGGTGACGCATTTACGTTGTAGATGTCTATGGGCTCCAGTAACCACTTAACACCAGGTGGGCTGTGAGCTCGTCCACCCATCTTAGCAATAAATAAAAATTTGCAAAATTGAACATTATGATATTTTGTAAAATGTAATGCACGAAGTTTGTTTTGTCTGTACGTACGATTCATACTACATTGTCGCTCATTGTTTTATTCTGTATACACTGAAAATGTTTATTATAAAAGATCAGACAGCCGACTTCGAGGTTGGATAGTCAGAAAATCTGAATTGTTACCCAGTGGGGTCTGGAGATTACTATTTTTAATTACTTAATGAAACTTTTCTTTTAATTTTAGCAACCACGTCGTTAACAGTCCGTTTAGATACAATGTTTAAAATTAGACGAAAAAAAATCGGTTGTCTGTAAAGTCGGTTTACTGACGATAGTTGAACGTGACAACGTCATAAGAAAATACTGATGGAATGGTTTCATTTTTCAAAAGAAAATTTTAATTTTATTTGTTTGATAGATATTTTGTATGGACAATTGACAACCACATTCACTTTTCACTGAACTTCATACTTGACAAAAATATGTAAATGTATAATTGTATAGCAGCTGTCCGCGCGGATGTATCGCTCACTCAAGTAGGAGAGAGACAGATGTCGAACGCTGCCGTACGCGGAGCCCGATTGTGCCTCTTTGTCGCTCGTTGCGCGCTCTCGCTTGCACTTCAAGCCTTAAATGGAACGCCTCAATGAGTCATGTTTTTTCGTGCGTGCAGCCGGCTCCATCGAATTATAAGACGTTGTCACGTCAAGAACAAAAAAAACAAAATCCTATGCTGGAAGACTCCACAAATCCAATTATGCACAACATAATCGATACGGATCAGATAGCGGTGAAATTATTCGATTGAATTCTTGAAAGGTTCAGTTATACCGAACGGTTCACACAATTACGAGTCGAAAATGATATTCAGCCGCCTTTTTAAAATGATGAAAGCGCTGTAATATTTCAACGTTGCCATTTCCAACAATAAGTCTGGGAGCGATGGTATTTGTGGTGTTCGGTACATTTATCCCGTCAATTGCGTAGCGTTCGAAATCGTGTTTGCCATTGTCTGAGTGCATCACGGTAATATTCTTTGTAACAGAAAATGTATTTTGCAGTAATGCAATTGGACGCCGCCCCTAGCGTTTCGCCGAGAACGCAGATTTTTATCATACCAATATTTCACTCTGGTATCACTAGTATAAAAGTAATACATTAAACACGTACAGCATCTAAATCATGGATGAACAAGATTTAAAAATATCCTCAATTTCTCTGCATTACTCCCGGTGCTTCTTTTTAAAGATTATTCATATCGGAATGCGCTCTTTATAGCTTTACTTATTATTTTTAAATTTCGCCACATTCCTCTCATCAGTATGCGTCTGCTAAAAGCTGCGGTTTATGTAAATTTCGCGAATACATGTTTCGCAACTCCAAAGACTTTAAATACCCTCCACGACTGTAACAGCGACACGTTTTGAAATACCCGACATGCTAAGTAAAATAACTAAGCAGATATTATTAAAGAAATTCCACGCGCAGGTGCCCGTAAAACCTTTGCATTCACGATTCAATCTTCACGAAATTTATAGCAAAAATTGAAGATCTCATATGCGAAATATTTGTCTCGTGTGAATTAATCACACGTCTCGAATATTTCATAACGTGATAACGTTCACGAGGCGAAAATTCTTACGTATTCTTGTGGAAGCTCCGAGAAGAAGAAGCGAGAATTTTAATTCATCATTTTCGTATCGATATTTATCGCAGCGTCTGCTTTTGACACTTGCCAAGAAACGAATATATCGAAATAAAGCAAATATTAAATTTGGCATCACAACATCATTATTTTATTGCAGTCTAGTCTCTACTCAGCAAAATATCTCGAATTGAAACGTATCAAATTATTTAAAAACGTTCAAGAACAAACCGCTGAGGCGTGTTTTTGATGCAATTTTTATGGTGTGCTCATTTTGGCGCTTTGTAAAAAAGCCATAATTGTTTGTGAGATAATTGTTCGTTCATCAATGAATGAGCGTCAACTCGCTGGGGTTTTTTTTTGAGTAGAGTTTATTGTCTTCCACCGATGTTGCATACCCGATCCTGTAGACCGAATGGTAAAAAGTAGACGTCGCCCTAAACACGTCATTACGGATCCTCCCGATCCATTAACGGTGCTTTTAGGTACCACAAGCACCGGTCACCGTCCTCGTCGAACCCATTGCTTGCAACGAAGGGGTCGACGAGTGAATTAACCCATAGATACAGCCCACTGAGTTTCTCGCCGGATCTTCTCAGTGGGTCGCGTTTCCAATCTGGTGGTAGACTCAGCGAAGCACTGTTCTTACTAGGGCCAGTGTTAGCAACACTCCCGGTTTGAGCCCCGTGAGCTCACCTACACATCAAGAAGAAGCTGAAATAGCCTCTCAAGTCTATCAGCATAGGTAGGAAAAAAAAACCGATGTTAGTGAAGAGTTAGTTAGTTAGTTATATTATCGTAAGAAAAAGTTGTAAGAATGGCGCAAGCATCTCACATTAAGTCGACCAGTTGACTGACGATGCAGTCGCTGTTCACCAGTTTGAGGGTAACGACAATTATCTACTTTTTCATACAGATATCTTCCACCGAGCGGGTGAAATTGCTCGCAAACAAAGGGCCCGAATGTTATTGTTCGGAACTTGTATATATGTATTATGCAAATATGCTTATTGCCTATGTTTGAAAATGTCGTTAGTTATATTCAAACATCTGTCAAATATCTTGTGTTCTATTGTGACTGAATGAAGTAAGCGGCAAAATGTTCGAAGTGCGTTGTCAAGTGTTTCGCGGCAAAGGATACTTGGGTACATGGAAAACTACTTATTCTT